TCATTTCTGTCTTGCCGGTCTGACAGGGTTGGACCAGTCCAAGCCTTAGGACCCAGGTTCCTTTCCTACCTGATGTTTTCCCACCAGAACACCATGGGTGGTTACTTGCCTTGAGTTAGAAATGGTTTGCATTTACACATGTAAATTTATTCATCCTTTTAATTTATGTAAGGTTTTTGTACACGATTCTTAATTCTTTAAGAGATGACAACAAATTTTGGTTTTCTACTGTTACGTGAGAACATTAGGCCCCAGCAACACGTCATTGTGTAAGGAAAAATAAAGTGCTGCAGCAAACCCACGGCTGGCTCCTGTTTTGGGCAGTGGCAGCTGGGTTGGGGGAGAGACCTGGACGTCTGATATTCTGTGGCGGGCCAGATCAGCTGGGTGTCATGGCCTCTGGTGAAGAAACTTTCTTAAAGGTGGGACAGGTTTGATTCCTACCAAACTAAAAGGGTAGTTGACATTTTAAGAACAAGGAGGCCTCAGTTTCGGTGTCAGGGTGAGACGAGCAGCAGCAATCTGCAGGGGCTGCACGAGCAGGCCTCGTGATGCACGGTGGGGTGGGGTGGGGTGGGGTGGAGTTGGCTCCACGCATACCTGCAGGAACCCTGTGCTTATTCCAAGTTGCAGGCCAGAAGGTGAGGAGGTCCCAAGATGGCTTTTTTTTTTTTAAAGATGACTGGTAAGGGGATCTTAACCCTTGACTTGGTGTTGTCAGCACCACGCTCAGCCAGTGAGCGGACGGGCCATCCCCATATGGGATCCGAACCCGTGGCCTTGGTGTTATCAGCACCGCACTCTCCCGAGTGAGCCACGGGCCGGCCCCCAAGATGGCTTTTTAAAAGAAAACCTAGTTACCGGGTTTTGAAATCCTGGCCAATTTTTTGTTTGGTTTAAGCTTGTGGAACAAGGGGTGGGTGGGGCCCTTTCTAGCAATTCACTGGTGTTTTCCCAGCCCTCAGGTGGTAGGGTCTACTAGTTGGGTGTGGGATTGTAGATTGCTTTTCATTGGTTAAGTTTATCAAGAGAGTAGCAGTCATGGGATTCAGTAGTAGAACCTGATTACTGAATCCTGGCATTGAGATCTGTTGATAGCAGGCAGGTCACCTGGTATAAACCTGGCACACGGACAGGAGCCTTGTCCTTTAAAACTAAACCTTGTACTTGTGCAGAGCTTTCAGGGTCACAGACACGAGGTGAGAGGAGGTGAGGTTTGGTGTTTCTAAAAGCAGACCCTAGGTTTTTGTAACTAATTTTAAGTTTTTGAACTTGGAGTATTTTGAACTGGATTATCAAAATTTTGAGATTGAGTCAGGGAGGTAAGGTCACTAGGTTTGAAAAAGTTTAAGGACTTGGAAGAACTTCCTTCTGAAATATAAGGAAAATTTCCTGTTAAAGCAGCTCAAGAGGTGGTTTCTGCAGTCTGGAAGCAAATCTCCCCCAAGCTGGGGTGGGGGTGCTTCCTGGCTCCTCCAGTAAAAGGAGAGGGCTTCAGTCTCCAGGAGGACGGCAGGGGAGGCTCTGTTGGTGTGATGGGCCTGCAAGAAGCAAAAGTGGAGGGACTCTCCCTTTTGAGCAGAAAGTCAGTCCATGCCAAAGCTTCCATGGCCTCAGGTCACAGCACGACTCTCCTGCTTGCAGCGACCCTGTGGCAGCTGGGAAAAATAGTGATGGATCAGGAATTACTATTTTCCCCTATGCAGCTTTTTACTTTCAGTCAGGACTAGGAAAATCTGATTTGCAACGTGGGTAGATGCAGAGTTTGAGTTGAATTGTACAGGAGGATAGCCAGGGACGAGAACTTAGTCAATGAACCAAGAGAAGAAAGATGGCTGGTCTGTGGTGGCCACGCCGCCTGGGCCCCATCCCTGTCCACCCTTCCTGGTGCTGGGCCCAGTGGGCACGTCCCTTAACTCTGGGATGCCCCTCCTCCCCTGCAAGCCAGGGGCAGTGCGTGCTCCATGTGGAGGATGTGAGGCCTGTCCGTGGGCCTCCTGGAAGCCCTACCCTGCACGCAGGAGGTGCCACGTGTTAGTGCCTGCTCCCCTTCTGTGGTGGAGCAAGGTAGACAACACTAGCGTTCTGGGGACAGTAATCAGATGTCAACCCCAATAGGTGTTTCCACTTGAATGTACATAGTGTGGGAGTTTCCCGTGAGACAGGCTTTTCTAGGCTGAGCTGTTAACAGGACGGGGCACACCACCCTTAGCCTACTAGGTAGCATTTATCCACTTTAACCAAAAAGAAACCTCACAGCCAAAGAAAGGCTGTGAAGGGAGGCTGGGACAGTGACCCCTCCCTCAGAGCCCTCGGGAGGGTCTGTGGACGTCACTTCGGGCTGGGCAGGAGACCGCCCCACGCCCGCACACACGCCCTGCATCAGCACCATTTCCCCAGGCGGCGCTGCCTGCCGAGCGCTCCAAATGCTAAGTTTTGAGAAAGGAGAAGGGGCGAGAGGGAAAACGTGTAGCCACCACGACTTTTAAAACTGAGTCTGATCAAATCAAAGCAAGATATGGATAGTCTTTGCCGACTGCTACTCCTGCAAAGGCAGGACCTCACCGACAAGGTTAACAAATGCTTGGGAAGCAATGTCTGCAAATTCTGGAATAAGAGAGTAGCAGCTAGAATGCAGAGAACCACAAATGAACAAGAAGTCAGGAAACTGCAGAAAAATGAGAAACGCGGGCCGGCCCGTGGCTCACTCGGGAGAGTGCGGTGCTCATAACACCAAGGCCACGGGTTCGGATCCCATATAGGGATGGCCGGTTTGCTCACTGGGTGAGCGTGGTGCTGACAACACCAAGTCAAGGGTTAAGATCCCCTTACCGGTCATCTTTAAAAAAAAAAAAGAAAAAAAAAATGAGAAAAGAGTATGAATAGGTAGAAAACAAACCTTAAAGGCTAACACCTGTCATCAAAAAATATAAATTAAACCAGAAATTAGACACGAGTTTATACCCATCAGATGGGCAGAAATCAGGAGATGGATAAGCCAGAACCCGTCACCACTCCCCGGGCATGTGAACCACAGCCATTCTGGAGTGCCACACGCAGGCTTCCAGGAAAATCAAGATTGTGAGTATGGCCAGTTTTCCACATCCGTGGGCTCTGAATATGGATTGGACCAACCTCAGATTGAAAACATTTGGGAAAAATTCCTCAACGCTCCAAAGAGTACAACTTGAATCTGCCATGTGCTGAGTAAAGTGTTGAATCCACATGAATGAATGATGTGTAGGCATCGCACTGGGTGTTATAAGTACTCTGGAGATTAAAGCGTATGGGAGGATGCACGTAGTTACATGCAAATAGTATGCCATTTTATATCAGGGACTTGAGCATCTGCAGATTTTGGTAGCCGCAGGGGGTTCTGGAGCCAATCTCCCAGAATACTGAAGGAGGGATGACTGCTCAGTACATCCTACAGCTCCCAAGCCCCACTCCTGGGCACACACCCTAGAGAAAAAAGGTAAACCCAAAGCTCTTTTACTGTGCACATGTGGCCCTGGGTGGTTTGGGCCAGCTTGTTCCTCGAGGCTCAGCCCACTTCCCTCTAGCACCATTAGACTTCAAGTCCTTAAGTAAGCTCTTTCAGGCCTCAGGACCTTTGCACATGCTGTTCTTAGACATCTCTCCACCCCTACTCTCTTCAAGGAGACTCTCAAGGAGAACTTGCCTGACTATCCTGTTTAAAGTAGGCTTCTCATTCTTGTCGCTGGTCTCTATTCTGGCGTTAGTTTAGCAGGTTAAGATAAAATATTGCTTGCATGTGGACAAGGACATGCACGTTTCTGCATGAGGGCAGTGGGTGAGTGAGCCTTGGTGGGTACGCACTGCTGTGCAGGGGGGAAGGAAGAGCCGGCGGGTGACTAAGCGCGGTTGCACCTCAAGCACTGCAGAGTGAAAACACGCTAGAAACAGCAAGCTTTATCTCAGAGCTCCGCTTATGTAAACAAAAATATGTGTAGGGCTGGCCGGTTAGCTCAGTTGGTTAGAGTGCAGTGCTAAAATGCCAAGGTCAAGGGTTTGGATCCCCTTACTCACCAGCCACCAAAAAACCCACAAAAACTAAAAATCAAAAATGCATGCAAAAAGATATGTCTGGTAAGTGTAGTATCCAGAATATATCAAGAACTCCTAAGGGCCGGCCCGTGGCTCACTCGGGAGAGCGTGGTGCTGACACCAAGCCAAGGGCTGAGATCCCCTTACTGGTCATCTTTAAAAAAAAAAAAAAAAAAAAAGAACTCCTACAACTCAAAAAAAAAAAAAAAAAGAACTCCTACAACTCAAAAAAAAAAAAAAAAAGAACTCCTACAACTCAAAAAAAAAAAAAAAAAGAACTCCTACAACTCAAAAAAAAAAAAAAAAAGAACTCCTACAACTCAAAAAAAAAAAAAAAAAGAACTCCTACAACTCAAAAAAAAAAAAAAAAAGAACTCCTACAACTCAAAAAAAAAAAAAAAAAGAACTCCTACAACTCAAAAAAAAAAAAAAAAACCCTTAAAACTAAAAAAAAAAAAAAAAAAGAACTCCTACAACTCAACAAAAAAAAAAAACAATCCAATTTAAACATGGCACAAGGCTTGAACAGGCATTTCATCCGGAGCAGATACACAAACGGCCAACAAGGGGTGGAAAAGACGTCAACATCACTAATCATTACAGAAATGCGAATCAAAACCACAATGAGATACCAGTTCACACCCACTAGGATGGCCATAAAAACCCACAAAAATGGGAAATAGCATTGGAGAGGATTTGGAGCAATTGCCGTGGAGCACGATTTGGCAGTTCCTCAACTAAACATCAGATTACCCTTGATCCAGGTACACACCTCCCAAGTTGAAAACCGTCACCCAAACATACACTTGTGCATGGACGTTCATAGCAACGCTGTCCACAACAGCCAAAAGGTGGAAACAGCCCAAATGTCCATCAATTGATGAACGCGTAAACACAATGTGGCGCATCCATGCGGTAGAATATGACTCAGCCACGTGAAGGAGTGAAGCACTGACACACGCTGCAGCAGGGACAGACCTGGGACACATGCTTAGTGGAAGACACCAGTCACCAAAGGCCACATATTGTATGATTCTGTTTATATGAAATGTCCATGATAGGCAAATCCATAGGGACAGAGAGCAGGTGAGGGGCAGAAGGAGGGGGCAGAGTTTCTGTTTGGGGGATGAAGAGTTCTGGAACTAGACAGAGGCGGTGGTTGCACAACGTTGTGCCTGGACTTAATGCCACTGAGTCATGCACTTTCAAATGGTTAAAATGGTCAATTTT